CACTCGCCATCCATCACCTTCCTCCAGCCACCGCTTTCTGCCTCCCACCAGCAAATATCAGCGGTGAAACGTTCAGACTTCAATTCTATTCTTAAGGGGGAATTATCTATTTTGCGCTCGCTAATACAGAAGCTAGTACTGCAGTGGTCCAAGCCGACGAGGGACAACGTGCATTTTAAGCCATGTAACGCAGATATGGACCCAACACAACAAACACCACTTAAGAACTATAAATCATATATCACTGCGTGAATAGTGGAAGGTTGAAGAAAGTACTTTAAAACTGAAGCATTTGGGTGGAATCAAGTAAAAAAGCTTAAAATTAAATTTATTTTAATTTCATTTTTATTCACATGCTGCTTATTTTTCTTCCTCCATGGCCTTGCATTCCTAATACGCATGTTCCCTTCTCATTTCTCAAAGCAGTTTTGATGACAAAATACACAAACCAAGGGTTTTATCATGAAAACACAATTAAAAGTTGACAAGCAAACAGCTCATACTATACCCACAATGAAGTGAAGAAGCAAACATGCTTTAGCCAGACAATATTCCTCCAAGGTCTACAGTCCAACATCAACAGAACTTGCATCCTAGACCACTCCAAAGCAGCCAAAGCTCACCTTCAACAGCGGTCATATTTTCTTAAATAGGAACTTAATGTGTAGAAGCTGTAGGTAACATCTCAGTACCATCCTTACAGAACAACAAAACCAAAAATACTGTATCAGTCCTGACATGTCCAATACTTCTCTGCTTAACTAGTTTGGATAGGGAAGAGAAGATGGTAAGGGATTTTGTTTTAAAAGTTTGTCAATATCAGAAACTTCCTGTACTTGCTGACATACAGGTAAGGGCAGGCTCTTATTTCTAATATCGCTTTTACCATAGCAGTTTGCATTTTCCTTACTTTCAGATAAATATCAAAATGATAAAAATTGAAACTTACAAAAAATAGATTCTATGACACATAAAGTGTAATTAGCATTTTGTAAGATTTAAACCTCACCTTACATTTAATATTATTTAAAATGGATTCAGCTGATCATTCCTCCAGCCTGTGCATGCAACACAAGTATGAAGCAAACTCTAGAGACATAGCTGCCCTCCTGTCTTTTTAATCAAGAAAAAAAGAAGATAAGTAAAAACAAAAGCCATCATCTCTAAACAGGGGACAGATTAAAAAATTCAGGATATACAAACCATGCTCTTAAACCTCTAAGTTACATCAAATGCTAGAGGTGACCTGATGTATAGAACTGTTGCTATTTGTGGGGGAAAAAGGTCACTAGGCCTCCAGCTACCTATCTTTGCTTTCTACTTTCAATTCTCATAATTCTACAGGTCTACTCAGTCTAGCAAACTTGGAAAAACATTTCCAGAAAAATTATTTCATACTCAACTAGTGAGTCTCCTCATACTATTATTCCCAGGCTCAGAAGGCAACAATCTCTAGGGAGCTGCATGACTGATCCTGAACAGGCAGTCATTAAAAAACCTAAAATATGTTTTCCACATCTTAGAGAGCAAGGCCTGCATAATGCAATCGCATTGCAACCGAAAGAAGTTACAGTTACTTAGTCTCCCAAGAAGTCTTTGTAGATAGGTGTAGCATGAGAAAGCTCCTGGATCTACCTTTTTTTACTCCACAAGTTGAAGTCAGCCAACCAGCCTGCTAAATACCGGTATAAACCTAATTCCATAGCAAACAACAGAAAAACAGGTTAGTGTAGATTAAGGTCCTGTACACTATTCTAGCTCCTCATTTCGCAGAGGTTTACCCAAAAGGAAACATCTGTAGATGGTCTCTTTCAATGGAGTAACCTCCAGCGTGAATCACTATCACTATGAATTACAGCATGTAGAATACTACAGTGCAACCAGTTATAATTTAAAACTGTGTTGCAACATCAGATCTACAATTAGCTATTTTTGCTGCCAGCTGATCCCCACTGAAGAGCCTACACTGACAAATTAAAATGAAAGGCTTCCTTGTACAACAGCAGCTAATTTGATATACTAACCTCAAAAAGAAATCTATATGAGCCTGACTGAAGTTGAGAGAGCTGAAAAGAAACTGCAATTGATGACCTGAAAAGGTTTTTCTTTCTTTCAAATGAAAAAGAAGAGAACAAGAGTAAGACCAGATGACACACAGAAAAAAAAACTAGTTTTCCAAGTACAGTGACAAATTTCTTTCATTCTTATTGTTTATGATGAATTAATGCATAAAGTACACAGAGATATCAGAAAAGTGCTGCACACTATAAAGTACAATTTGCAAAAGTTAAACCCAGCTGAAGACAAAACTGTCCATTTTTGACATGTGTAATTGTTCACAGCTGATAGGATTTGAACACATCAATTTATTTTAGTATACTTAGTTACTAATAACATCAAGTGTGTACTCTCAAAACATACAACGAACCCTCAAATGTATTTTACAAAACAAGGTTTTTGCTACTTTACTTTTCCACAAAAGAACGTGAATTATTTTTACAAGTCTCTTAAATACCATTTCAGTTCTTCAGTGCCCAATCAGTGTGATCTTGAAATGACATCTTTGTACAAGATTTAATCCTATGTGGCCCAAAAAGAAGTTTATATTCCTATTTTATCCATGAGCATCACCAATTCATATTTTGGAGACCTCAAGATTTAGAATTAGCATGTACAGCTATGGGGATGTCCCGATTCCTGATTGCGATGCACTAAATATTCTTACTAACAGAACACACACCCAAGACTGAAAATAAAAGTAGCTGGAAAGTTGTTTTTTCAATTTCACTGAGGGTTTCTCCAAACTGTAAGTGTATTCTACTACTGACAATCATTGTTTGGAGCCATCTCTGAAAATGCTGAGAATCCCATCTTTAATTTGTCAATACCTCCCCCCTTCTCCATTATGTACATCTTCAATGTTTAAATTCATATCTAAAGGACTAACAGACAAGTGTCCAAAAAACAAGGAGTGGTCTGAAGCAAAATACATGTTTCTGGGCCATGTGCTTATTTAGCTTTCCTAAGCATACTTTGCTCTTTCAATTTGTGCAGGTTTTGTGCAGTTTTTACTAATCTTCTACAAGATGTTTACTATTCACCTATAAGATAAAAAAGTCAAACCTACAGTCCCAACACAAGTCATGAGTTTTATTCCACAGTTACATTCTACCGCTTCTTTGAATTTCTATTGCTCTTTAAACACAAACATCTCATCTCACCTAAAACATGTCAAATAGAAAACCCGAAAACTTCAAACACTTACTTCATTTTTTGAAGATCATCATCTGCTCTAGCCAAGGCTGCTTCTGCGAGTCTTGCTCTGTGTTCTGCATGTTTTAATTGTTCAAGCAGCATCATGGTATCATTCAAACCATTAGAAGGCAAAACATTTGCAGGTTCACAAAGATCTTCTATATCTGATGAAACAGGGAGGAAAAAAAACCACCTACCAGTCACGTGTTGCTTCACAGCAGCTCATAAACATATGATGTTTTCAGTGTTGCTATTTCTGCCATTGGATGATTTGTAGAAGTAGTCTGTTTTACAAGAAGCACCACTGGATTTGATAGGACTAACCACAGAATACAGTACTACTCAGTAAAAGCAAGTATGCTAGAAGCAAGCTCTGAGTTAACAAAGCAAATAAATCCAGAATTCAGGCTTCTTTAAATACCAGTGTTGGATTAGTCATAAAAGAGACATTAAGTTTAGACTGTAATTAAGTTAATGACAGTCTTATCCTCTATTTTTCCAGTTACGTTATTCTGAGGCCAAAAGGGCTGGTAATGGTAAAAGAAGGTGTACAAATTTAAAATTTCTTAATAATTAGACAGTAACGCTTAATTTTCAAACCAATTCCTTGGGCTTTCATAAAACTTATGAAGACACAAAACTCAAAAGAGCATAAGCAGAATGAATCTAGATGAAACATTGCTTTTTAACTACCAGAACTCAGACTTGGCACTAGGTCCCATTCACCTCTTGCTAAATTCAGCCAGTGACTTCAACAGATGTCAGTGGATAAAAAAAAAAAAAGGTGCTACTGTGTTTTTGAACATAGTAGAAAGTCACTGCCAGCTTACTGGGCAAAAGACTTCATTAAAAAAACATGTATGTATTCCTTTTAATCATGGAAGACTATTTGGCCCACAGGACTGAAACAAAGCAGAGATACTGAAAATAAGATTTTAGAGGTTCAGATCACCCCCATAACCCTTTAGCAACTCCCTCAGCACCTCAAAGCATCTCAAAAGTCTATAGCTTCAGCTAAGAGCACATATTAGGCAGGAACTGATACAGTGGAACATGAAATCCCTGAAGTAACCAACCAACATCCTCTACCAAGCATTACCTCTGCTATCATGCAGCAGGGCTTGCTTTGAAAAGGGCAAAACTGCATTCTAGACTGTACAGAGAAAAAAAGATCCACAAGCTCTAAGTACCTTATGGTTTAAGTGAAAGAAAGATGTACAATCAAGTGCAAAATAGGAAGAGTGGGAGGGTCATGGGCAGCAAAAATAAGTTCAAAAGTCAAACTAAATTCTCTCGAGACCACCTGATGAACTGTCATGAGAGAGAAACTAAGGCTGCTTGTACCGATCGCTAGAACCACTTAAGAAGCAGAACTCTTCTATGCAACTGTAGTCTTTTACACTGGATTGGTCCAAAATAGAACCCGTATAAAAGATTAAGATATTTTTAAAGCAGCAAATTACTTGCTCCTTACTTACAGCATACATTTTTGAATGAATGCATCTGATTTTAAATACCTACATTTAGAAGCTTTAAAAGCTTCATAAATCTTCCATCAAAGCTTGGGTGGAGTCCCTCTTTGACCTGCTTAATTAATACATACAGCATCTCCGCTACGAACATCCTATCTACAATAAGCAAATGCAGATAATAAAACAGGGCTATGGAAATCTCAGCCATTAAAAACCAACATGTAACAAAAATTTCAGAGCATGACTTAATGTCATGACTCCAGCTATTACATGGACTTTCTCATGTACCTAAGTCAACTGAATAACAGTGATGATGCTTTGTACAACAGGAACTCTGCCAAAATCCACATTTACCCCACAATGCAGTACAGTCATACTGAAACGTATTTATTTACCAAACTGAAGTAAGGGATCATCTTCTAGCTCTGGTTTCAAGTATTCCTCTCCTTCCCAAGGCAGTGGGCTGCTGAGTGAACTCAAATATGCTGCTGTTGGTTTCTAGACAGGAGAAGTAAGCTAAGTTTTTTTGAAAACACCAGCCCTTCAATTTCATTCAAGACATTCCTCTCCTTCCCAAGGCAGTGGGCTGCTGAATGAACTCAAATATGCTGCTGTTGGTTTCTAGACAGAAGGAGAAGTAAGCTAAGTTTTTTTGAAAACACCAGCCCTTCAATTTCATTCAAGACAGTAAGACAAAGAACTGTTCTTCCACCCATTAAAATAAACAGGGTATTATTAAAGTAGCTTTGTAGCAAAGGCTGAGAAAGATACTACTTTAAAGCATGACTACTAAGAACAGTGAGGAAATGAACTTCAGGCTTCTATCCTGGCTCTGATGACAAGTACTCACCTCAGCATACTGACACTACAACCATGATGACCAGAGAATAACATAAAATTACACCTGTAAGCTAGTCTGGGGCCCAAAGCCCAGGAAGCTACAAGATCGAGGAATTCAGTACAAACAGTAAAGCACAGCAGATTGATAGAAGCTGAAGGATACTTGTAGGATTACACTACTATTGGGAACCAAGTTTGCTCAAGTATTTGAATGTGTCAGACCCATAGCTTACAACAGGGCTAATCAATAAAGCCAAGATACTAATCATGCCAAGTGTTTTTACACAAATGGTGCTGTGGGGACTTATTTCAGAAATGCTATATGCTCTTCTGTTTGCATCCAGCCAGTTAATGGTTTGTCAGGAAAGGAGAGGTCAGATTCTGGACTTAAGTTTTTCAATTTCTGTTCACACTCTGCATAGCTAGTTATGCCTTAAATAACTATTTGGGGATTTAAGATTTGAAGATTTAAGTAAAAAAATGCTTAATTATGTAAGATTGGATTAAGTCTAAACCTAAACTTTCAGAGAACAACTAAAGAACGTACTTTAAAGTCACAGAATACGCAACATATATCCAAGCCTAACTTAAAACTGTAGGCTCCCATCAGCTTTCCCGATTCTGGTATCATTTTAGCAGAGATTAATTTTACATTCTGTGACCTAAGGGATCAGGTGTTGTCCTCACTAACAGTGCAGTAAGGGTCTGGCCAGCTCACGTCCCCAGGAAAGACTCTTTTACACCGACATGCATGCGAGGACTGAGAAACTTCAGTTATTGAGAAGTGAAGCCATTACTGGAGCGAGACAGCAGAGTCTGTCTGTCAGCCTGTCAGTAGGCCAAGATGAATTAAAAAAAATAACATGACACTACATAGCATGGGCTATTTGCAAGTCTGAACCTTCTCTTCTGGAAACAATAAAACTCACATTAATTAAATATATCTCAAATGAAAAGAACTTCACATCTAAATAAACCAATCAATAGCTATTTTAATTCCCATGATTTCCTATTTCTAGAAATATAAACACAGAATTTCATACAGTTATTAGAAGAAAGGCAAATTGAAAGCACAGCATCTTGATTTCCCATTCTCCAGACACAGATTATGGAAGTAATACATGGCACACCTACCTTTAATCTAACAAAGTTTATTAGTTTAATGTATCCATAAAAATCAAGTCCTGAAAAGAAAGGAGAAAAAAGAAGAGAACTTGCATTACAGAAAACCCACGTGCATTTTACAATTATTTGAATACTAATTACTTATTCAATTGGCCAGCTTCCCCTTGGGGTGTACATCATTATCTAGGTCAGCCTTCCTATCTTAAGTTTGCCATCTACATTCTTCTCTTTAGGACCAAACCAGGAAATTCTCACCCTCAGGACAAATTCATTTGCTGCAAATTAAGAATGGAACACATGCAAGTGTGGCTTATGAACAGGGATTTAATTCATTTGGCAAGCAACTACATCAGGACAGCCACATTTATCTCCTACTAGCTACCTTGCTGATACTTTAGGCTGTGTGCTCCTTTGTTCCTAATTTTAGCTTTCGCCTCAATAAAAACTAAATTGATCCTACTGACCAAGAATATAGACTAATATTGATTTAAAACTGCCACCTTGCTCAGGAATAACAGTAGTTTAAATGCAATTACATGCTCTCCTCAAGAACGGTGAGGATACTGCATAAACTCAAAATACCTGCCTTTAGATTTTATAGAGAAAACAGACCAGACCTTACAATTTTACATGCAGATTTCTAAACACTTTGTGTGGTCCCCACCCTCTTATCTCTCTCTCCTTTTTAGCACACGCTCTTAAAATAGTGTTTCTCCAACACTGTTCCCTTTCCCCTGCTTTTCAGTTTTCCTCTATATGCAGCAAGCTACAGATTTCAGGCTCAGTAGCTCAGCACTTACCTAACTTTTCCAACCCCCCCACCTTCACATACATCGCCCTACATGCACCTTCCCTTCAGTCACTTGGCCTAAACACAACAGCTTCAAGTGAAACCCAACCTTAAACTTCACTTAGAAAGAATGAAACAGACGTCAGAGGGTATGTGTTCCTGTGATCACCTGAGGGAACGTAAGTCAAGACTGCAAACAGCCGCTTACCAGACACCAGCAGTACAGCCCAGTTGCTTGACCTCTTGGTGGGTACATCCACTTTGGCCTCTGCTAAGCTACCGAGCCCAACAACAGTATCACCAGTCGGGCAAGAGTTCCCAGTAGATGAGGTAAACAGCTCTTACTCCAGCATGCAGCGGGCTGGCTCAGGTCGATCAAGCAGGCAGCGGGGGCTCAGCACAAGCCAGCAGAAATCAATCTTACTTTTGTTACTAGTCAAGAGCTTAACCAGCAGATAAAGTGCACAGGAAATGGCCAACATAAAGATAACATATAAGCATTTTTCTACAATAGCTTATCTTGTTCAATCTTGGAATCTTCAGCTACAGCCAGGAAATCAGTTAGAAACAAGCTAATCTGTGCAATTTACTTTAAATGAGAAGGAAACAACAAGTCCTGTAAAAAACTTACCATGTTTCTTGACCACGTCACAAACATTAAACTGATGCTCTGTTTTGCAGTGGGAGAATACGCCTTCAGCAGAACTAAACAACCTATAAAAAACCCAATTATTAAATACGCAGTATTAACACATTTAGAAGTTGTAACGCTCTTATGAGTTTTATATGCTCTGTTCTAACCTGCTAGGCTCAGAACACGTCATTTTTGCCTTTAGGAAAGGATGAACAGGCACCTGCTTACTTGCATACCTCACAAAAAAGCTTTTACCTTGTTTGCAAAAACATTTTGCAACAAAAGGTAATAAACGCAAAAATTTTGTTTGACAAAACCACAAACCCTGTTAACTCTCAAAAACTCCTTGACAGCAAAGACAGCGTTAAACCTGAAATGTAAGAACCACATGTATACGAGGCGAGCTGGCCAGCCAGATCTGCTGCATCAAAATAAAAATCCTCATCTATTTGCTGACAATGGGTACAGATGACAGAGAGGATTCAAGAGAGAAGCTTCCACACTGCTTCAGGGCGAGGAGAGGGGAATCACCTGCTCTCACGTTACTTACATCTCCTTCAGTCTAGATTCAAAAGACCTGTGGCTCTAGAGAAGCCCAATATACTACCAACAAGCTACAGAACGCCGCTGCAAACTACGTATTATTTATTTTTCTGGCGTGGCTGCCGCCCTCAGGCAGCGTTTGGGCGCTCGCCCCCCAGCCCCCTTCTCCAAGGGGCACCGCGGGTACGA